CGCTTCGATCTTCAACATCCTAACCAACGGAAAAGATCAACCGGACAAGGATAAGCTGTCAGGGGTCTACAGCATACCGATTATAGATCGCAGATGTGATAAAAACCTTCTGTATGTGGGCTCCACCAAGCGATCCTTAGAGGTTAGACTCAAAGAACACGCTGCGGATATTCAGAAACAAAGGAACACGACGACCCTAGCAGTATATGCTTCCGATCCAGATATAGAACCCGAATTTAAGAAAGCAAGAATTATCCGCACCGCACGGCACGTACACCATATCAGATGGCTAGAGGCGGCCAGCATATATTTGGCTAACCTTAAGGATAATCAATGCATCAATTATAAAGAAGAGATTACGTTATCAACAGCGTGGCTAGCGTTTATGAATAGTAATTTATGATAGCCCGTTTGGAGTCGACTGCGCATGACATACAACGACGGAAACGGGAAACGTGCATTCGAACTTACATATTTCGAATTTAAAGTTTTTACGAGCTGCATTTTCCATCAGAGATTCGAAAAAACCTGAAGAAGAACCGGTTAAGGGTTCGAAAACGTTAGTTTTGATTCGTTTTGGATCGTTAAGAGTTAGTAGACACACCGGTAACAGGTTAGAAAGAGGTAATTATATTACTATTCTCCGGTGTTGTAGTAAAGATGAGTAATATCCAGGGTAGTTTTCCAATTGTCATTGAGTGACATGGCATCATTAGCATTAATTATTGTTAAATATTTGGAAAGGCAATAAATATATAACTGTTCAAATATCCTGATAGACAAATAGAAATATGTTTGTGGTTACTAGTAAGAATATGGCCTCATTAGTAGCACTCACATTAAAAAAGTTCACTTTAGTTGTTAGAAGATCAAAGAAAGGCTCTCTATATGTTCACAACTGTCAAAATCTAGTTTATACCATGAAATTGAAGCAAAAATGGAGAGAAATTTTACTGCATAGGCTCTGTAAAAAGATTGGTGTCTAATAGAATTAAGGATCATTACTCTCAGTTGGCCTAGCCCAGCCCAATTTGAGGCCTATAATCAGTTTACTGGAATAAGCCTGTTGTGATATATATGGGTTAATTTTGTTAGGATTTATGATATCTTAAATGTAAATTTGGAATTTTTTTATTTATTTATACCTGTTCAAATATGTCATTTACAAAGATTAAGAAAATTTGAATCAACTTTTTTTTACTAGATGATTCTCTGTTAAAAATAGTCCTCATTCTATTTAATGTGTAAATTTTTGTTTTTATTGATTAGAAAGACATTTCTAGTCAATCAATATTGTTACCAGCTGTCAAGAGCATTTGATTTGGAACATCCATTTTTCAATGTGTCCACAACTGGGATTGGTTTGAAAGCTAGGACCAAGGTTTCCAATTCAAACTCAGCATTGGCCTGCTGCTGCTGCTGCTGCTCTGAAGAGCAGCAGCAGAGCAGGCCAATGTTAAAATTCACAGTTTAATGTAATACAAAATATTTGAGAATTATTGAAGTTTTTTAAAAATATAATATCTATTAGAAAATAAATTTACACAATTTTTATAAAATAAATACCATGTGAAATGATTATCAATATTTTTGATTTGTTTGATTTAAAATTTTATAATTCCCAGAGTTAAATCCTGCCTGAATTATTATTTTTTGTAACTTCGTATTACTAAATAATTTTTAATTTAGCATGTATCAGTGAGTTTTATATTTGGATATAAAAGCAAATAAATCTTTGATTTGTTTATAATCAGTAAAAATTGTCAGGTGTAAAGAGTTCTGTAGTTGAAATAGAGAACCCTGATGTAGGGTTATGCAATTATTAATAGATGAAGTGGTTTTGTGAAAAAATTTGACTTTTTACATGCACTGATGACAGAGTTATTGTCTGCAGTGTCCGAGGCCACCACTTGGTAAAACATACTGTAACCTTTCCTTACTGTGTAACATCATATGATCAATAAAAATTTTTATACATTCTGTTGAACAAGAAGATTAATGTTTGAATCCAAATGGTTTTAAGGATACTTTTCTCTCATTAGAATTCTTAATCTAAACAAAATCAGTCTACTCTATCCAAAACAAACATTTATATAAAAAAATCTTTCTGCAAGAATATCTTATAAATCAAGTATTTGTTTTAATAAACAAATACTTCATTTATAAGATATTAAGTTATTTAGTTTAAGATATTATTATTGGTTATTTTTTAAAGAAATTAAAAAAAAATTTTTTCCATTCTTCTTGTTCAACAAATTCATTGGCTAAAGACCAAGGAGACTGCACAAAGCATTTGTTTCTGTAGGTCCACATATTTGATAAAATGAATCAATGGTTTGTCTTTGGTATCCGTAATTGCAAAGTTGATTGTTTTGTATTTTGTTAATCTTGCATTGGCTCATTTCCAAAATTTGGGTGAAATAAAACTTTAATCCTATTTTTTTAAGATTGAAATGATTAATATTAGTATTAAATGGATTTCCTATCACTGTGAAATGTGCTTGACTATATTTAGCATGAAATGTTTTATTATAGTTTTGTTAAAAGCATGTGTTTATTTTAATACAAATTGTAAATTTAAATTGCATTATTTTGTTAAAATTTTAGGAATTTTTGAAATCCACGGTGGATCTGGCAGATGTGATTGGATTGCACCTGGTGATGACAAAGGTGGCCGGAAAAGGCGAGACCAAATTTTTGGTGGCCGGTCTGGGTTGGGCCACGGCGGAACTGATCATGACGAGATTTGTTCCCCTCTGGGTTGGCGCCAGGGGCGTAGAATTTGACTGGAAGTATCTGCAGATGAGTTTCGATTCCAACATTAGTTTGGTAAGATTTTTATGTTTATGAATCAAATTCCGCATTCATAAGGTTAGAAAAGATTTCTATACCTAAAGCATTTTTAGAATGTTACTATTCCACCTTCAGAAATTGTACATGTTGGATAGTATTAGTAAAATAAATTTTTATACAGAGCACCCTAAAGTATTTGGCAAATTCTTGTATATTAAAAATATTTTAAAATTTATCTTACAATTTGTTTGCTTAATTTTTTAAAGGCATCAATCTTAAACTTACTTTACTTAAAATTAGAGCATTTATATGGTTTGTAAATACAGTCGACCCTCCTATAACATGGGTTCCTATATCACGGCGAAAAAATTGTGACCGTATTCGTACAAACATGCTAAAAAAAACTCGTATAATTCAGTAAAATGTCATCGCCGACTCACATTGCAAAAGGATTGGTTGAATCTAGACCAATAGCTGATATTGCACAGATGAGTTTAAACGAGCAGCGGACCTACTAAAAACCATTTATTATTTAATGCCCATAAAAATTATATTTATATTAATGATGTCTCCAAAGTTCAGCGAATTTTCACAAAAAAAAATAATTTATCAGGAAGCACGCGAGTGCCATACGATGACAATCTCCACAACGAAAACAAGATTAAGCAACGGCGTAGTCGAACGGTGCACACTCGGTAAGTAACCTACAATTTTTTGTTTATAGCATAGTTTATATGGATTATTCCCAAAAAATTATACAGATTTTGGAAATGTTGAGTCGAATTAGTCTAGAATCGATTAATTTTATGGAAGAAAACCTTTCAAACAGCCGTAGTCCGTAAACTGCATACTGCATACGTGCTGGGCTATGATTGGCTCATGTATTCATGGACTCTTAGAACATCAATTTCATAAAGGACGGAACGTATTTACCGTGTTATAGGGGGGTCGACTATATTTAATAATGATCATCTAAATTGTTGTGAAATTTCCTGAATGTGTTAAACATTTACTCTCTTAATGGTCTAACGTAGGTTCATCACATTACAACTGCAACTCTAGTCTGGCTGTGGAGTAGACACGATTTACGAAAGACTCATTTGCCAATAGTTATGATGCTTTTGGCTTTGGGATGTTATAGGCATCTTATAATGGAGTAAGTTACAAATTTTTTTTTTTTTAGCAAATACACTTGATGATATTTGTATCACCAGGTTTAACTTTGAACTAGACCTTGCATGAAATTAATTCTCTGAAGAAACTCTGAATTTCTTAATTTCTCTGAAAATTGAACTAGACCTTGCATGAAATTAATTTCTGCAAAGATTAATTTGCAATATTCATCTGCAATATTCCTTTTGGTTCTGAATATATTAATTTCTTTAATTGCAAACAGTGCACATCAAACCATTGTTGGGTCATTTTAGACTAACTTCAGCAGCCCAATGTGGAATATATATTTTTCGATTTTACCCTGTTTTCATTATGGTTATAGCAGGTGTTATATAATCTTCTGTATTAAAATTAAAAATCATTGAGGTCAGAAAGTGATCAATGATTTGGATAAACTATGGCCATTTAAAATATACAATCCGTAAGATTGATTTCTTTGTTAAATTGTTCTAAGCTTTGAATCCTACTCTTTTGTAAGAAAAAGTCAAGTTTGCAAAATCTTGACAATACATCTGGAATGCTTGCATAATTATGTTCTGATATTTTGTAGCAAGTTCTGGGAGAAATATTTTAAGTTCTATTCTCTAGGATTATTTATGAAATTTTTGTTATTATCTCTTAAACCAGAAATAATAATAATCCTTCTTAATTCATTTTAAAATGAACTTACTACCTTCATGTCAGTATGTATTAATAATTTTACCTTCTAGACCAGGCCTGGCCAACCCAAATTGTTTCATGGGCCACTTTGATCACGCGTAACATTATGGTGGGCCACAATTTAGGCAAACATGCTTGTAAAAAAGTAAAACAAATACAAAATGAATAAGATTCTATTGTTATACCAAGAGTTTGTACTAGCACTTGCGCATTATAACAATGACACACACAAATTTTCATTTATTTAATTGTTTTGGTATACACATACCAGAAAACAAAAGTATGGTTTCCCATTAGAAAAAGCTTATAATTTTAACCTTAAAATAATCTTGACCTTTGACCTAGACAATAAGATAAAAGGTGCGTCTGGTTGTGAAATTTCCTGCTCTTACCATTTCTGGGGTCAAAAATGTGCGTTCCCATTGAAAAAAACAGACTTGACCTCCAAATGACCTTGAAGGTCAAGGTCACATCTGAGGTCACCAATTGATTGGCCCCTCGATACCCTACAATTTTTGTCTATACCTTTTTCCAAAATAATGAGATCCAATTAAGTTATTTCAATGTCTTAAGATAAAAAATACACCCTGTATAATATTGCTTAGTGGGCCACACAATTTAACGTGATGGGCTGGCCAGGCCTATTCTAGACTCAACAAATTTAGTCTGAGTAAAGCTGGAAGAAATGTAAGGCAGCACAATCTAAAAATTTGTGTCCTGCAACAAAAATAATCTTCTAGGCATGAACACCAGTTCAACATTGATGCTTGTTAAACTCCTCCCTAAGAGAGGAAGGTGGAGATCGGGAAATAAAATAAAACACTTATCATTTTTCTGCAATTGCCTCTCATATTTTTTAGTACATTTCATTCATGTAGAAAGGATGTGAAGTACCAATTATATGGATTTTATTCTAAATGCTTCAGAATCCCTTATTCTTGTAAACTCTCACAAATTGGCCAGGGACTCTGGAACATTGGCAATTATCTGCATATCATTGAGTCTGGATTTAAGTATGAATTTATACTTAAATAAAGAGATAATTTAGTCTGGAAGGGTCAAGTATCTTTTGCTGCTTATTTTTCTGACTTCATTCCTTACACATAGGAGTAATACAAGAAAATTCTTCATACTAATTTATGCATATTTCTTTTCAGATTATTCATTCAAGCTCTGGGATTTGGTCCTTGGACGGTATTGCTCATCAAAGCCATGGCCACGGTTGTAATAGGTTTAGTGGCAATGCACATTTACCTAAGTCTAACGCAGAGTCTCAATTCGTACTGATTAAGTCTGTATTGTATCTATAAAGTGTTTCGTAATAAACAATCTTTTGTTTTTGAAGACATTTTTCTTCCGGAAATTTCATTAGCAGTTAAAACCAAACTACTGATTTTTGTTACTTTGTAAACATTGGTAATCATTCAAAATCTTTATTATTTTAATGAAATTCTGACTCATGACTGACACAAATAAGTCAAAATTATTTCATTTCACTAACTGAGCATCTCAAAAAAAATCCAACACATTGGATCTGAGTGATCAATGATTGAACCTACATTAGATTCAATCATTGATCATATAAGCACTGTCTACAGCTAAACTAAATTTATACAGTCAAAATATTACAACTGGTGTTTTGTCTCAAGGTGGATTGACATTTATGCCATGGGTTGTTCCTCTTTTCCAGCACTGTTGATGATAGGTATAAGCAGAGCCGGCCCTACCATAGGGCGAAAGGAGCAGCCGCTCCGGGCGCTAAGTCCTAGGGGGCGCCTCAGTGGTAAAGAAAATTAAAGGGTATAAATTTGGGGCAACCAAGGGCAGTGGCGTAGCGAGCACCGGGCGCCCCTCGCAGAGGGGCGCTGGTCTCCAAGACAAACTATATGTGTTTCTGGAGGGGGGTGCCAATAAAGTGTCGTGTCCCGAGCGCCAGTTATGTTCGCTACGCTACTGACCAAAGGGGCGCCATAATAGGATCTCGCTCCATCCTAAAACTTGCCTCGGGCCGGCACTGGGTATAAGTATGGTCTGATTGTTGTCAAAGTAGTAGTAAATATTGTTAATCTTATGACAAGGTTTTTAATCATACAAAGAAAAGGCATTAAGGAGCCCAAAAGAGGGCTCAATTATCTAATTCCTTGCAGAGTTAATGCATCTTTGTTACTAGTTGATACTATGGAATGCCATAAGATCAGATATTTCTTCTTTGCAAATTTATCTATACTCTAACATTTGTTCTTTCATAAGAATGGCAGCTGTCATGTGCACTCACTCTTCCACTATCAGAACACAAACTTATTCACAATTCCTCACTCCTTTAGCTCTCCGCATACGTACACTCATCTCTGCTATTCTTATACAGAGGAACTTAAAAAATTTCTGCTGCTGTTCAAAAGGTATTTTCCAGTCTTGCAAAACATTAGATAATTAACTGTAAGTCCCATGTAAGACTGAGTATTAAATATTTGGCCACGTTGGTGGGCATCATTCAAATATTCCTTTTGTATGTTGCAATAAGCTTTTTCACGTGGACAAATTAACATTGAGCAAAGACATTGTAGAAAATGAGTTTTAAAAATTTAGTACAATATCAAATGTTGAAAATTGTTTAACGTTTTAGCATGTTATGGAAAAGCACTAGGAATTCATGAATTCCTAGTCCTTTTCTGTTTTCTGGCTCACTTTGTCCAGATGACTGATACAATGAGTCAACCTTTTCAAAATATTTATTGGCTCTTGGATGCATTAATATATTTTCTGAATGGCTCTAACAATAATTTGAGTAAATTCAAAATTAAATGTATACATCAATATTGGAATAGCTTTGCTTACCTATTTCTATCCACTCTACTGCAGCCAACAACAACACTAACATTTTTATGCTTTGCGTATGACTGATTTGGAAAATCAGGCACTTTAGCACCTTTGGTAGTCGATCCAAAAATTTTTCTTGCTATATTATGGTTTAATCAGTAAAAGAAGAATTTAAAAGAAGTTATTGCATGTAGAATATTTTAAGTTTATTATTGTAGAAGTTATTAATGTAGAATATTTTAATGGTAAATAACAAGAATGTTTTTGTTTGAGTGTTGAGCTAGGTACAGTAGATGTTACCTAGAGCCTACCAAAAGTCATTTGATGAATTCATTAGTCTATGGAACATTGCAACTTTATGAAGAAAAATCACCTTATGTTGTATATGTAAAGGTTATAAATCACAAATTGGCTGAAATATTTTGGTTTGGTTTTGGCAAAGTGGTTTAAAATTGTACAAATCACAAATAATTGACAATCTGGTAACCTCAATTATTATTATTAATGAGACTGCCCAAAATATCTAGCATCAGATTCTTAAAAATATTGATGGTATTGATATTGATCTTCTTACTTGTATGTTTCTTCAACCCATGTCCATCTTTACACTACCATTCAAGATATGCTTCCTTATTAGTAATTATTTCATTCCATCCATTCTTGAAACTCCATATACCTCTTTCCACACAGCACAATCTAACTTCATCACCTTTGCTGATCAAAATTCTCCAGATCTACACACACTTTCTGTTTCTTCATCCATTCATCATTATCCTTAACATCACTAAATAAAAATCTGAGTCACATCCAGCTCCTCTCATCATCCTTGTGTCCACATTCTTTAATCACTTATCTCATAAAATGTATCATGCTTCTCATACCCATAAAGGCCACTACAAGCTACGCAATATCGAAGCAAATTCGTTTGATTGCTGCCTGTTTGATGGCCATTGACTCGTCACACAACAACATACCCTTTGATGGAAAGTAAGCAGTCTGTTTGATTCCTCAGGCAATGATCAACAATGCTCATGCACATTTGAAAGTTTGTGAGAAAGGAGCCTGTGTCATAGGCCACACAGATTAGGTCTTCACTATGCTGGGGTTATGAAACAGCTGTTTGATATATTCTTACTTTTATAAAATCAATGAAATAATTTAATTTTCATAATCTATTGTGTCCCCAATTTTGCTTTCATTTATTTATTAAATTTCTGACAAAATAGACAACAAATAGAAGCAACCAAAGCTAACTGATGTTACCTTCAGCTCTTCCATTTGCTGATGTAAGTCATCGTCATTTTACAAAACTACCAAACAATAGTTCATAGAGGGTAGACAAAATGTTCATTGGTTCTGTATAACTATGTCATGAATGATATCATAAACAGTCATATGACCATAAAAATTGCCTCTGACATTATGTCGAAAGTGACGGCATTGCCTAGTTCACAGCAGCCTTAATACTGATGGATAGCTCTGGATATACAACAAATTCTGCACAGAACTCAACTGGCTCAGACATTTCTTTATTCACACTTACACATATCCAGTATCTTATGAAACCTTTTCTAGAACTCATTCTTCTTACTGCTCCCAGTAGACGCACTGGTGCATAGGCAAAAATCAAAAGGTTATTCTTAGCATTTTTCACCTTACCCAAAACCTCTCATTTACACATTCATTATACATCTCTCCTTGTGGACTCCAGATCACATCATCTTGCTTTTCTTGATATCCTTTCTTTGAGTGAAATACAATCTGTATGCACTACTTTTTCTCACATACTACACTTCAATTCTATATTCACACTTTTATTTCCTGTTTGCCAGGAAACAACTCTTGCAATCAGGAGCTCCATTACTCCCAGAGCCTGACATATTTTTCTCATGTTGCCTTTTAATGAATTTGTTTCTATGATATTGTGGTTTAGCTCCTTGCTCAACTCCCAGCTGGAGGTTCAAGAATCCCTCTTTGTTTGATTCCTATCCAACATTGATGATTCTGGGTCTTTGTACTCCTATGACTCAGCAAGCATACACTAAGACAAGGTCACACCTAAAGAATATCAAGATGAGAATGAAAATAGCATCATTTTTTCTCAAAGGTATGCTGTAGGAAATTGCTCTAATTTTATTATTCATTGTTGAACAAAAGTAATGGTATAATCATCCATGAAAACTGCAAATTCATGTATTGTAAATCTAAAATATCAATTTAATATTTATTTTTGATTCTTGCTTGTACTAATATGTGGAGGACGGTAAATTTTAAACACAGTTATCACAAAAGTTTGAAGATGCTTTTGTTGCATAGTGAAGATCATGCACAAATAGAATCTTTTAAATCTTTTTCTTTAATCACACTGGCAATTTATATTATACTCAACTTTCTTCCAAAACAAGCAGAAAGATACAACACATTTAATTGTAAAAAACCTCTGTAATGTTGCATCAAGAATAATTTCCACTTTTTATTTACTTCTAAATAAATGACAATATCCTGCCAACACTTTCAGTAATGTGTTAATTTATATGTACAGTACTTGTCTTTCTGTGTTAATTTAATTTATCTTGGATCTTGTTTGTGGTTATATTTTGTATGCATTTCTTGATACAATTTGATTGCAATTACTTACTTTCTGGAAGAACATTATTGGTAATTCTGGTAAAAATACAGTCCTCCTTTTGTTAGCATATTAAAAATTACAGGTTATTAAATTTCATTTCATGATATTGTCATTTAATAAATAGAAATGTTTTTCTGTAAATAGATAGCTAATCAATAACACACTATAAACTAATAATCTATAACAACGTAATCAAAATTATACTTTATTATCTTAATAAATGTAACAATCAAAATTATCTAAGAATAAAATTTGATTGAATTTATATATTATTAACTTTGTAATTGAACTTACCGTCGACTACAAATTGAGTCGCCCAGTGTCTCTAAAGATAATTAATTCTCGGAAAACACCGGCGAGGAAAGCTCTCTTCGGTCACGATTTTGGGTCAAAAAACGTTAAAACGTTACATCATTTACATACGAGCCACAGTTAAATAAAATTTTAATACACTAACAAACAATTCCTTTTGTTGATATATATATATATATTATAATATATAGTTTATTCTCAACCACCTTTTAATACAGTTGGCAAATTTCCAACACATAAATAATATTAAGATGGTTGAGAAAAACAAAGAAAAAGCAGATTGCAAATATTCTAAATCAAGTAATGAAAATATTTCTGCTTGATCTGTCAATATCATACCTTAATTATCTACAAGAATAAAAAAAAATCAGTTATAAATTTAAAATTATTGTCAACAGTATTACATGAGACTTCTAAACATTTTTTAATTAAAAAAATAAGCAGTTATTGAGATTTATTTTACATAAACTTTCTAGAGATGATTGCTTCAAGATGAGGATATATAAAAGCCATTTGTTTGCATGGCATATCGATTATTTCAAATTAGTTTTTGAAATAACTCTTACTTGTTCTTTTAATACTGATTAAAGTTCCAAAAGTCAAAAACAAATAAAAATTTGTTATGCCAGTTTGCACTGTTTTGATCTTGTCATTAGAACATTTTATATCCTATAAATTTAAAAGGATTGAATTCTTTGTTTTTCTTCTGTTAAGTTATCAAAATTCAAAGATATTTTGGTTGAATGTTACGAATGGCAAATTTACTAAGATGTAAGCTTAATCGAAGACACATACTAGGCAGTCAGTTCTAGATATGCAATACATTCGCATATATATATATGATATACATAAACTGCATTAATCGAACATTATACCAGAGATTTCATGTTCTTTCCGACAACACAGATAATAAAATTGTATTATCAAAACACATGCTATCAGTTTTATGCTAATTTCCATAAAAATCATCATCTATCATTCAAACAGATAAAAAAGGTACAGTTACGTAATTTTTTGTATTGTTTGTATAAATACATCCACAGTTTACATTCAGTATCTTTCTCGTTCACTTTGTTTCCTTGGTAAAAATAGGATTGTCAACTTGAATCCAATCTGTCATATAAATTATATCCGTACACATTCCCGGCATCACAGTTTTGTTGAAAAATTTGTTAAATGTGATAGAATATATTTTTAAATCTTGGAAAACATAATACAGATTTAATGTATAAACAAACTTATTTGGATAACCTAAATTTGAAAACATTTAGACAAATCCTTTATGTTAACATTCCTCTTTGTATTTGTCAATGTTGGATCAAATCAAATGTACAGTAGAGCATCGATTATCCAAATCAATTGGGGACTGGGGTTGTTCAGAAAATCGATTTTTCGAATAACCGATTATGTACAAAAAAATCTATTAACCTATCCCATGTTAAAATTCATTCAAATTCTGGCAAGTCCTTAAGTACCCTCATGGTTGCACCAGTGCTGCCAGCTAAAACACACACACCAACAAAAATAATATTGGAGTAGCCAAGACATAGCCAAAGATTGCAGCACCACAGCACTAGCAGAAATTTAAATTTGCTGACTGGAAAGCTTTCAGTTGATTGACATTCAGATAATCAATGTTCTACTGTATTTGGCTTGAAAACCTTCTTTAACGTGTAAAATTATGTCTTGAACATAGTGATGTTACACTGTGTTGAAGATGATTGATAAGAAACTACCCTTAGAGAAATTCATTAGTTTGCAATTTAAACTGCTTTTTGAGAGAACGTTCTCTACCAAAAGACAATTCCGAAACCAATTTAAGGGTAACTCAACTATCCATTTACATAATGCTACAAAATTTTACAAATTAAAATATTCCTATATTCTTTATATATATATACAGATATTAATAAATGAGCAAATTTCAGTAATTCAAAACTATATTTGGGCAGATACTTTGTGGAAAAAATTTAGCAATTTGTATAAATTTAAAATGAAAACTGTATTCTTCTATAAATTGTAACTTTGTTAGAAATATAAATTCCTTTAAAACATAAATCACAGATAAATAAATAAACATTAATAATATATTATTAAGTATAAACAAACCCAATGTGTAATAAATGGGAGAAAAACAGAGTTCTTATCTAAAAGTCTAATACGTGCTGTTTTTGTCGGACTAGTTTGACCCAGTCTATATTACATTAATGACCGAAGGCACCACAACTGATATTTGGCAAACTTGTCTCTAGTTTAGGTATGTGTTTCAAGACTGCGAGCACTGGATAGCATTTGAATTGTCTGCGTCTTCGTCTTCTGTGTCACTGCTCTCCGAACTGCTCTCACCTCGTTCCTGGCCTTCCATCTGAGCCTAAAGTGGCAACATGCATTAAGTAATGTTGGCAAAACATTATTTAATATAATGAAATGATAACTAAATGAATTGTAATTTTAAATGTATTTCAATTTTTTAAAACATTGAAGCCTAAATAATTCTAATGATATTATCAGCAATAATTCTTTGTTGGTACCTCACCTGATATTTCATAAACATGTACAGGAGTAACGTAGTTCTTATAACAACTTTAAAAAATTTAATTAATGTAATTTGTTATTATCATTTGAAAGTACACAGTTTAACCTATTTTTCTATATAGTTGTCATTAATTTCTAAACACTTTTTCCAGTGGGAGACAAAAGTAAAAATTCTTCACTTAATGATTTGAACAAGTTCAAGACTCTGTCTTTAACTTCATCACCATTGTCACATGACAACTGTAAGCTAACAAGATGTTTCTTCGGAGGTTCAAAAAGGTAAAAATCAGATGATGATTAAGTCTGGACTATGCATAGAATTGTCCATTACTTCACACCCATACATTTTTAGCCAGTCTGAAGTCTGATGTGTTTTGTGGGGAGTTGCATTAATATGTAGCAGGCAAGAAATTTCACACAAATGAAGAGGTCATTTGCAGAACTAGATAAATTGGCTTTTTCTGCTGGAGTGAAGACATTGGAACAATGCTGGAATAAGTGTGTTATTCTCAGAGAAGATTATATTGAAAAATAAAAAATAATCCAACCAGATTTTGTGTTTTATTATAAGCGATTCTGAGAACTTTCTGAACTTTCCACATATACTGCAGGAAAACAATCTAGTTTTCACTAAGTAAATTCAGTATTATTATTATTAAAATATTTTCAAAACAACAATTGTCTAATTTTTTCTAAAAAATTTTTTAAAATAACTAGTTCTTCAATTTTAAGAATTTTATATGGATCACACAGTTTCAAACAGATAAACAGAATCTCCCCTAACTATGTGCACTGCTTTCATTATTATTATTATTAATTTAAGTGACAAAAATTAGCATGATTGATTTTCAGATGTTTTTCATTTTCTGAGTGTTTAGAGAAATCTTTTGGACAAATAATCTTAACATAATTTTTTTCTAAAATAAATTGTATCAATACATATTTTAAATATGTTTAAAAAATTTTATGTATCATATTATGATTAATTATGTAATAAATGTGTTCCAATTAATTTTATATAAAGAAATGATTCTAATGCAAGAAGTAATGAATATGTCTAATATAATTCATAAAAAGTTCATTTAGAGAGTCAAAATGTAATTTGTTACTGACACTAAAATTAACCATAATTGTTTAGAAAAAACAATAATTTTTTTAAAATGTAAAAATATCTTACTCTTCTTCTAGCTGATCTTTGCAGATGCTTTAAAAGAAACCAAAGCATTTGTCCATCAATAGTATCTGGTTCATCGTGTTTCCTGTCTTCTTCTCTTTCTTTTACATTATTACAAGTTCTCTGCAATAAATAGTAGTAGTAGTAGTAGTAATAATAATAATAATAATAATGAACTGTCCTTGAAAATGTACACAATAATCAAGTATGCATAAATCTTATAGATTGAAGGAAAAAACAAAAAAGTTAAAACTCCAGACAAATTCTTTTTAAAAAAAACTTTAAATTTTGATTTAAAGTTTTATTATTTCTATTACATGATTTATACTGTTGTTATTAACAAGTAACAAATTTAATTTCATTTTATTTTAAAAATCTGCAATTTCCACATTTTATAATAGAAAACAATTTTATCTATACAAATTCATATTCCTTACTCAGAGGCAGACATCTTTCTGAAAATAAAAATAACTGAACTGTATGTGACAATTTGGATTCAGAAAAAGCAATCAGTTTTTACTGTATATCAATGATTTTAATATTTTAATGAATAACTCTGATTTAATAAAAGCAATAGACTGATGAAATATCATGATCATTTACAATGAAAATAAAGTTAGAATATAGCAGTAACATAAAATAACAAACAACTGGAAAATAAATTGCACAATAACAACAACACAGGGCATCACATACATGAAACCCAAAAACATTACCAGAAACACTAAACAATACAGATCAATCATATGCCTTCCTACATTCTACAAAATACTCATGTCATGTATCACAACAAAATATATCATTACATAGAACAACACAACATTCTCACAGAGCAACAAAAAGACTCATAGAAAACCACATTGGATGCAAAGAACAGTTACTCATAGATTCAAACATTCTACAACAAGCACTCAAACAACACAGAAGTCTACATACATACCTAGATTACAGGAAGGCATTTGACTGCATCCAACATCCATTACATTTTCAGAAAATACAATGAAACACTGGAGAACAGACCTACCCTCAGACTTCACAACACATACATTAAAACAATTTTCTGGACATTTTCTGCGAGGCTTAGTCCAATTTGGTTTTGTTGGGGCAAAAATAAAAAAACAGCATGGTACATGCCTAATGGAAAAGGGGCACAAAAAGCAAAAACACAAGAACAAAGCAATTGATACAGAACAAATGCAAGAATTGCCTGTCTGTGACTGGCAAGTATAAGGATTGCCTTCTTGTGTGGCCTGCAACTGTTTTCTTCTGATGACACACACATTTTTTTTTCTCACTTTCATACACACATCCATACATATTTCAGCACTCAGGTTAGATAGAGAAAAAGATAATTTATATGTACTAATACTAATTTTAAAATTTTTAATTACAAAATGCTCTATCTTAATTTTATCACAATACGACAAAGTTGCATGGTGTCCTAGTATATTGTATCAAATAATAATAATAATTCAAATTAAATAATTTAAACCACAAAAAAACGGCATTATTTATTTGAAGTAATCTTCTGTTAACAAGAAAAATCTATAATTGAAATTCTGTGCTGAAGCAAATACTTTTATATTCAATCACTCACTGAAAGCTTTTACTCTGATTTAATGATGTCTAAAAATTCTATAAAGAAAAAACTTGAAATATTGCATATATTGTTACAAAATTCATAAATATAAGATCTTAAGAATCAACAATGTTTTAGCATATCAATAAATAAAAACTTACAGCTCTAATACTTGAAAGATCAGGTGAATGTTCACACGATGGCACCCAAATTTTTATATCGTCATCTAATCCACTAGTAGCAAGAAACGGACTTGTAGGATGAGGTTCTAAACAATTAACCTAAAATAATATTTTCTATTATACAAGATTTAATTATAATAATTACATTTATTAAAACACTTAACTGTCCTGTGGTATTAATTAAAAACACTCAAACAATGAAAGTTGTAAAATTGTATTTTTATAATTAATCATGAGACTTTTGATAATATTTACAGTATTGTATTCAGGCAATTAAAACAAAAATAAAATAAGAACATTACAATGTAAATATAAAAGATGTTGAATAATTTGAAAATTTAATGTAGACATTGTAAAAAAAAAATCATTTCTTTATGAATTATACAGTAAACAAGCCCAATTTACTTAAGCAATTTAATAGAAGTGTTCTAATATTCAGTTAGGTACTTAATTAATACTTTAGTGTGTGTCAATACTATTTTAACAATTACATTTAAATATAGTATTGCTGTTTAAAACAACAGTATATTTCTATAAAGCATTTAAACATTAATTTATCTTAATAAAAAAACATAAATATCAACTTACAACCCCTCCTTCATCACCATATGTACAATGTACTATATGCTCACTATCGTGTTCCCAGAAAAAAATATATCCACAGTCACTTCCACTTATTATATATTCGCTCTTCGATCCAAAATAGTTGACACCTTTAACTAAATTGAAATAAAATTCCAAGTTTTAAAAATTATATAAAAGAAGATTTAAATCATTTATTTCATTAAATACACTACTTATTCTTTATTTTTTAAATCTTGTGGTACGATCATAAAATTAATATAATTTCATATAGTAATAGGAGTTATAAATAACATATATTTATAATTTAAATAGTGATTTATTCATTCATTAATATTCTTGTTTCAAATTATTATTTATCCTTGTTCTTAACTTTATTTAGAATGCCATTCTTAAACTTGAAAGTAAGAATCTTAATTACTCAAATTAAATTGTAAAATTAGAAATTAAATATGTCAAAATTTTGAAATTTTTTCTTACTTGTTTGATTATTTCTATGACCACGATATCTATGAGTATATTCAGCACCATCAGAATGCTGACTGTTGAAAGTATATATGTCTTCATCATTATAAGATGCTAATATTTCTAAAGAAATATAAACAAATTATTATTAACTAAAGCAAGGTGTGTCCCATAATTATAAAGTCAATCGTTTTAACTAGAAAAATACAGTATTAAAATCATATATTTGATCAATAAAACGAATTTACACTTCAGATTTCTTTATGAATTACTTTAAATTTGGAAAAAGTATCCTTTTTTATATTAAAAGATACTTTTTCCAAATTTAAAATAATTAATTAATAAATTTTATTAATTCCTTATTTTTTTACCTTTCTTTTATATAGCATTTAACAATTTTCATGAATTTCTGGTTATTACATTTTTGTTTATTACACACTAATATAAAAAATTTAAAGATAAATTAATTTATAAGTTTAAATATTTATAATTCTCACAACAAATGTGGAATGGAAGTTTTAAATATATTAAATTTAACAAAGCTGGATGTATCATATTTACCTGTTCCATTATAATTATAAACTAAGCAAGTCACATTGGCTCGAATATCACTATTCACCTTAAAAATAAAACGTTTTATTATAAAACTTTTAATCATCATTATCAGTTTTAATGATCTAAATGATTTTATTATAAAACTTTTACGCCATATCTTTGTCAATCATTTTAATTTTTATTAAAAGTATATTTTTATAATTATTTCAACAATAAAACACGCAGATTGATATTTTTCTCATCAAAAACTTTCAAACATCTATTTCTTTATGTCAAGAATAACGTCTTCATGAAGTTCTGAATGGAATACAAAATATTTTTAATTACATTTTCTCTTAAACAACTTAGCATTAAGCTATGGATTCGTTATTCATGTATTGCTAATTTAAATAAATATATATTTAAAGAGTAATAATAATAATAATAATAATAATAATAACTCTCCCGTGGTCACCACCTGGTCGTGGTGGGAGAGCCCAGTAATTTTACTGAACCATAGGGCAATGCAGGCTGGAGCACAAGCTCCTGTTAGGGACACCCATGCCAGTAAGGTCTATGGGGAGAAATGAAGCTAAGAGTGACCACACACCCACATTCTGTGGAGATAATCATTATGGTAGTAACCAGATCTAAGTATGATACCGGCTCGGACGTCGCCCGGGTTAACAAGGTCCGCGTTCGTGGGTTAGGCAGAGGCTCACGTTCGAAAAATAGGCTCCAGTCTCCCTTGGTTACCGGTGGCGAAAGCAGCGCCGGCCCAAGCATGGCTACTGCAATGCCCTCAACAGATGTGAGGAATCAACCTAGCCTTGGTGTTTCTGTGGCAATGCATCCACAGACCACAAAGGCTGGAAAACCACGCCAACGGATGAAATGGACAACAGAAATGAACGAGTTTATCATCCGCACTTACTACACCATCACAAGACTCGAAACAAACATGACAGCATACAGACAACAACTACACCACATATTCACACAACAATATCCTCACCTCACTGTCACCGAACAAAGGGTTGTTGATCAAAAACGAACAATTATACACAACAACCTTATCCCACAAACAACACTTGAACTTATCAAACAACAGGTTGCTGATCAAATACATCAACAGACAGAAACATTTAACATTAATGAAGATCACGTAACCTGTCAGGATAATCCAGCAACAAGCACTGATTACAGCACACACACAACAAGTACCACTAATGATACTGCAGGCACTTCCCCATCCATCACTGATAACGTAGACATAGAATTAGTTAATACGCTCTCACTTATATTTCAGGAAACACTCATTAAATATACTGGTACAGATCCCACACAAAGACCACGAATACCAAAAATCAACACGTCAAAGGCAGTAGGAAAAACACTAGATTATGTAAACACTCACTTACTACCAAACTACATTCATTCAATTTCTACACTCTCAGACATTCATACATTAGTTTATGCTGGGGCAGTCACAGTAGTAACACACCATGGACTGAAAATACACTCACAGACAGACACACACAAAACACAATTCTATCATAAGCCTGCCTGGCAGAGAAGAATAGAAACACAAATAAATGACATTAGACAGCAATTAGGCAGGCTGACACAATACACTAAAAACAACATAACACCCAAATTAAAGAAACAACTCAAAAACATTTTCAAGAAAATCAAAACACACACAAAACACGAACATCACAACACACACATTACAGAATACATCGATACACTAAAACAAAAACTCGCAGCCAAAGCACGTAGACTCAAACGATACAAAACATGTACACTACGAAAACAACAAAATAAATTATTCACAAACAATGAAAAACTTTTCTACAGACAAATCAGTACCAAAACAAACACTGATACACAGCACAGTGGCACACCAACAGAAGAAGAACTCACAACTTATTGGTCTTCTCTTTGGTCCAATGCTGTTACACACAATGCTGATGCAGGCTGGATCAAGGAGGAGAACAGAAACTTGCATAACATACCAAGTATGCCCTGTGCTGAAATAAACATACACGACATTCGCTACGCTGTTAACAGAACACACAACTGGAAGACACCTGGTGTAGACAACATTCACAATTTCTGGTACAAAAAGTTTACATCACTGCACCAGGAACTAGCTAAACATCTAACACACATCATCATCAATCCACAAGACATGCCAAAATTTCTTACTCAGGGCATCACCTACATGAAACCTAAAAACAACAACACCACAGACCCCACACAATACAGACCAATTACATGTCTTCCAACACTCTACAAATTATTGACATCCTGTATCACAAACAAAATATACAAACATGTTGAAGAACACGACATTCTTACAGAACAACAAAAAGGTTGCCGTAGAAATCACAGGGGATGCAAAGAACAGTTACTCATAGATTCAGTCATTCTACGGCAAGCACACAAACAACACAGAAACATACACATGGCATATATAGACTACAGAAAAGCATTCGACAGTGTTCCACACAGTTGGCTGCTACATATTCTACACATGTACAAAATACATCCATCACTCATTGCATTCTTCGAAAACACTATGCAGCACTGGAGAACAACACTACATCTCAGGGTTAGTAACACTTCCATACAAACAAACGAAATATTCATTAGGCGAGGAATTTTTCAAGGAGATTCCTTGAGTCCTCTCTGGTTCTGCCTAGCCCTGAATCCATTATCCAACATGTTAAACAACACGCAATATGGCTACAATATCAGACATGAAAAAACAACACAGTTTACACTGTCACATCTCATGTACATGGACGACATAAAACTTTATGCATCCACACAGAAACAACTTCATCAACTCTTACAAATCACACATTCATACACCAAGGACATACAAATGGAGTTTGGCTTAGACAAATGCAAAAAACTACACATAGAAAAAGGAATCCTGAAGAAAGAAGATTTTGCACTTGGAAATGGAGACGTTATTGAATCCATGGAAGAGGGCGATTTCTACAAGTACTTAGGATTCTAACAGGCCAAACTAACAGAACATACACAAATAAAGCAACGATTAATTAAAGAATACCAAAGTAGGTTAAATGCTATTCTGAAAACACAGCTAAATGCAAAACACACAGTTAAAGCAATAAACACATATGTCATCCCAGTACTCACATACTCTTTTGGAGTTATATATTTGACTCTTACAGATCTTGAGCAACTCCAAAGGAAAACAAGAACAACACTACTAAGCATAAACATCATCATCCTAAATCCTCAACAGAAAGATTAACCCTTCCACGTAAAGATGGTGGACTTCACTACAAACAAATACAGCCATTGTGAGAGTTTTTCTACAAGAAACGAGAAACATCACAGTTACATAAAGCAGTAACTCTAGCAGACAAACTCTAGCAGTAACAGCATATAAAAAGCATAGACACCATCAAGCAATCGTCGGCTCGAAAGGCACTCCATGGCAGGCATCCTTATGAACTGGCCCAGGATTTTGTTGACAAAACTGCGTCAAACAGCTGGTTAGATCACAAATATAATACACCAAGAGCTTGCAAAGAAACACAAATTGGTAGACATTCACAAACCATACTACAAGTATATACCACAGACAGTGTTGGAAAACAACACACACAAAATGTACTATGACAGAGCCATAATTACAGATAAAACAATTTACCACAACAGACCAGACATCACACTCATTGACAAACACAATAAAATCACATACATTATAGACATAGCCATTCCAAACACTCAGAATATACAAAACACATGCACTGAAAAAATTAGCAAGTACACAGAAGTCGCTCAGGAAATAAGGCATCTGTGGAGGATGGATAGTGTGCTTATTGTACCTGTTGTTCTCTCCTGTACAGGTGTGATACCACACACACTACATTAAAAAACACAAAAAGCCTGGGAACATTACAATTGAATAGAAATACATACATCACACTACAGAATGAATACA